TGTAAGATTTGAGGCTTTCACGGCGGTGACTATGAAGAAAGCAGTCTTCTGGGAGTTAACACCACATATACACGGTGCCAAATCCCAGAAGACTGCTTTCTTCAGACTTTGTACTCTTCATAGCTTAATTAAAGAAGGAAACACATCTTAAGAACTTAAAAAAATACTATAACCAGTACAAAAAAATATACAACAAAGTTATCGGTGAGGCTAAAAAATTAAGCAACAACATGCGAATACGACCATCCAGGAACAAATCAAAAGCCATGTGGGATTTAATCAAAGAAGAATGAGGCAGTCAGCAAAGAGTTTCAAAGAACATTGAATTAGGAATGAATGGAAGAACTATACAGGATCCAAAAGTTATAGCCAATGTTTTTAATGAATACTATACTAACATTGCCCATCATATCTGGATTAACAATCGGACAGCACAAAACAATTAAGACAGGATTAACACAATAAAATACAACAGCAATAGCATGTTCTTAACCCCAACCACTGAAAGGGAGGTGGTAGACATAATTAAAACACTGGGTAACAAAAAATCAACGGGCATTGATGATATTCCAGAGTTCATTATTAAACAATGTCATCCTCAACTAGTAAATGCTCTAACATACAGCATAAATCTGTCATTTTCATCTGGTTATTTCCCCAACCAACTGAAAATAGCAAAAGTGAAACCCTTGTATAAGAAAGGTTGTACTGCAGATGTTGGGAACTACAGGCCAGTGACATTAATTTCGGTTTTTGCTAAAATAATCAAAAAAATTATGCACAATAGACTTTTATTATTCATAACTAAGTACAGCCTAATCAACAACAAACACCATGGATTCTGCAAAGGAAAATCAACACATACAGCAATCACAGAATTTACAAAAACGGTTTACAAAGCACTAGATGAAAAAGAAATGAGTATAGGGATATTTTTGGATTTATCAAAAGCATTCGACCTAGTAGATCATGATGGATGGAAAGAATGGGAATACGAGGGGTTACACTAAGGTGGTTCCGAACATACTTAGAAAACAGAGAACAAGCAGTAGAAATTGCACAGAGATGCAAAAAACTAATCGTAACATTAATTACCTATCCCGAAAGAGATCCATCAGCTATGGCGTCCCACAAGGTTCCGTTCTGGGACCAGTGTTGTTTCTGTTATACATAAACGACCTGGAGGCCAGCACAGAACATGGGAAACCTACGTTCTTTGCCTATGATACTAGAATTTTTATAGCAGGAAACAGCGCTAACGAAATTCAAAGGAAAACAAATGAAACAATAAACACAATCACAGAGTGGTTTGAGAGGACTCAATTAACTAGTAATAAAGAGAAAACAGTAGCAATAGCCTTCCATCATCCTCAAAAACCACAACTTGAATGCCCTCCAATAAAGATTTATGACACAGTTATCAACTACACAGATCACTCAAAATTTCTGGGAGTCTGGCTAGATAAGTATCTAAGACAGACTATGCATACGCAAAAGCTAGCGAACAACTTATGTAAAGTATGTTTCGGCCTAAGGGTAGTTAGAAGAGTGACTGGACTAGAGACTGCCTGCATGTTATATTATGCTCATTTCCAGTCTTTGTTATCATAAGGACTGATATTTTGGGGCAACTCAGTAAATGCAAAATTGATCTTTAAATTACAGAAGAGAGCTATAAGAGCTATGACCCAGGTCCAAAAAGCGACTAGTTGTAAACAAATTTTCAAATCATTACATATATTACCTCTACCATCTTTGTACATATACGAAACTCTAATATACATAAAATCCAAATCAAATGATTTCACAACCAACTCAGGATTACACTTATACAACACAAGGGAAAAAGATGACTTGCACATCGTCCCATGTAATACAAGTCTATGCAAGAACAACTTTAACAATGTAGGACTGCTAAATCATCTGCCATGATATATTAAAGAAATACCAGTACTATATAAATTCAAAAGTGCTCTGAAAACTTACCTACTTGATCATTGTTTCTATAAAGTGGATGAGTTTCTCTCGTGTGAGACAAACACTAATCAATTATAACCACATAATTCATGAATAATCGGTTTCGGGAATCCCTACTGCGCAGTTTTCCTTTCTTTCTTCCAGCAACCAAGATAACGCAGTCGAAGAGGTACCTGAATGGGCTACTCTGGAGAGATTGCAGATACCAAGAAGCTACACCAGGAAGGGAGAATAGATATAATGAGATGTTGCAGTGTAGAGTCTACAGTGAAACATTATACCAGTGCTATCACCAGATGTACCTGAATGGGCTATTCTGGAGAGATTGTAGATACCAAGAAGCTGCACCAGGAAGGGAGAACAGATGTAATGGGATGTTGCAGTGTAGAGTCTACAGTGAAACGTTATACCAGTGGTATCACCAAATTCACCAATATTATCTCAAAGGCCGCACCATAGCTTAAGCAGTTAGTCGCTGGCTTCCCACCGCTGTGGTCTAGTCAAGTGGGATTTGTCATGGACAAAATGGCGCTGTGGCAGGTTTTCTCCCGAGTACTTCAGTTTCCCCTGCCAATCCTCATTCCATCAAATTCTCCATGACATATGGAAGCCGACATGCCGAGAGGACCAAATATGGCTTCCACCTCACACTATGTGAAATCTTAACTATTGTAATCTACTGTAATCTATTGTAAACAATTTTAAGTATTGTAACTTTATTCTCTTATTGTAATCAGCCAATGTACAGTATCTGACTTGTCCTATATCATGTAACAATGATCTATAGAGACGAAATACATACATACATACATACGTACTTTCATATTTAGCTGACAATCAAAGGAAGCCTGATCAAAACTATCATATAACATGTTATGGCACTTTGAACACTACCATCAGGAAGTACAATGTCTTCAATATTATTAACTGTTATGAAAAATAATTTCTCATTCATTATTGCATAAAAATAAATTATGCATTTTGAAATTTTTTATAGTTGTTTAAATTCTTGTGTTTTGCCCTGTGACCACCAATGATGAATTCCACTTCTCCAGCAAAGCAACCACAGCACAAGATGTGTGCCTGAAAAACGGACCTGTACTTAAAAATTTACTATTTCTGAAATATTTTCAAGTGCTAGTTCACTTGTAGTTAATACACATGATCCAATGACTTCTGTCAATGACCTTCATCTGCACTCAACCACTTAGCATCTTCCTCTTTAGTACTTGTACTGTTACTCGACTCACTCATTCCTGCTACCACACGATGACCATAATAATCAATAACTTCCAGTTCTGGAGCAGCAGCCACAAGTTCTTCTACAGACTTGTCACACACCCTGTTGCACTGCTCCAGATTCAATCGCCTGAGGTATGGCAGATGAGAAGGCACTAGTGCAAAGTAACCAATACCTGTCAACAACGGACAAAGGTAAAAGTCTGAAGATAACATACCAGGTATGCTGCAAAATGAAGTTCTTCAGAATGCTCAAATAAAGCTGTGTATGACAACAGCAAGATCTGTTCTTTCACATCATCCTTTAGGCCTATTGTCCTACTATGGAGAGGTCTACATGCCACACTTACCCAGACAGCTATGCTGGTGGCAGCATAAGCTCCTGGTAGAGCCACCCTTGCCAGACAAGTAAAAGGGTCAAAGGGTAGGGGTCAGATGAAGTGTATTCCCTGGTATTCCAGGTTTGAGGATGGGGTTAACAACCCCACCCAAGAAAAATTTACTGTTATCAAACCATCATTGAAGCCAAGACCTGCACAGAGTTGTAGTGCCAGTAAAAATGAAGTTCTTTTACATAGACAAGAATTGTGGTGAAACACATAAAATTATGGGAGGAAGAGGACTGAAATGCGGAAATGCCTTTTCTCACACCACAATCAACCACAATCAAAACAGGAACGAAAGTATGACACAGAGGAATGTATTTGTGTAGTTCCACATAAAGTGACATTCTTCTGGAGGGGAGGAGTATGTAGATGCTTCATCTTTACCTTGAAGAAAGGGTCAGGAGGCTCCTCCAAAACATCGGTAAATAAGTATATACCTGTAATACACACAACACCAAGAAGATCCAGCACACGCAACTGATTGCAGCACCTCATTACCATCATGATGCCAGCATCTGTCACATCCCAGCACCAACAGAGTGATAATGTTCTCAAATGGACGCATCTGCATGGACAAACACAATACACTTCAAAGCCTTCCAAATATGAGTCTAGAGTGTTGCTGCTACACTAACCCACTCTGTATTAATTTCTGGTGGAAGTAAACACAGACAGCTATAGTAATAAACACAACAGTATGCTATAATTTAAATTACTTGCGATTTATCTGTTTTGAATGAACAAAGCGATCCAGGGGTCCAGGTTTGATTCCCGGCTCTATCAGATTTTCTGAGAAGTAGTGTGTCTGGAACAGGGTCCACTCAGCCTCGTGAGGATAACTGAGGAGCTATTTCAAGGTAATAGCAGCTCCGGTCTAGAGAACCGAAATTAACAGCCGTGGGGATTTGTTGAGCTGACCACGAGACACCTATCTGCTAAAGTTGGCACTAACTTCGCCGACAAGCAGCAGTCACTTGGTCAGTATAGTTCGCTTGCAGACAAAAGCCACAGAGTTTCTTTCTTGTTTGTGATCTATGTTCTCTCTTCAAACATGAAACCATTATATTCATACATGCACATGGGATGAATTTTTTGTACCTGTTTGCAATTCTTTCCAAACCATAATCATCCAGGCTGGAACATTCCGAAAGATTCAAACACACCATGCAAGCCATAGCAGGTCGATGGAGAAACATGGACAATCCACGAGCAGTCAAGTTGTGACCCTTCTTGAGATGCAAAGAGTGAAGTTGCTGCAGTGATCCAATTCCTTTCAGCAGTCCTTTATTAGTCATTTGGTCACAGAAGGAAACTTCTAGTTCCTGAAGCCTGGAGCACATTGGTAACATCACAAGTCAGCAAACTCAGAATGGGGGCCTACCCATAATATCCTTATGTGGAGCATACTGGAGAAGTGATAACGCTCTGGACATTTATTCTGGAGGTAACCAGTTCAATTACAATCAAGCTACAGGATATTCCAACAGGTTTCTAATGGGTTTCCTCAGTCTTTCCAGGCAAGTAGTGGGAAGGCAACTTCAAATAACCATCTCTTTCCAAACCCTTATCACCTCGCTACTCATTATATTCCCACCTCATCAATATTATATAAATTCTACAGCTGAAACAGAAAGATTAATTAACAAACATAAAACTCAATCTTAACCATTTCATGGACAAAGTGGCATTGGGGAAAGTTTTTCTTTGACTACTTCAGTTCCTGCCCGCAATTCTCATTCCGCCAACTGCTCCATACTAACCTATCATTGGTGTTCAATTATAGGCAGATGCAAGAGATTCCAAAGCCAACTCCTTCCCTCACAGAACCGAAAACCATTTTAGTTCCACGACTTTATGCATCACTCTTCACATATGGTTTTCACTTCAAGTTTTCTCTGTTAATTTCAAGTGTGGCTGAATATTGGCTGGTTTTTATGCAGATGCGATTTTAGTGTCTACAATGTGTGTAGATTAAGTCAATTGCCTCTATATGCTATCACTGCCCCATACATGGGCACAGCAACAATACTGTAATGGATTTCATAAACATGTTGCCAGCCAACAGCTCTGTAAACACGGTCCAACACACAACAATAGAGGAAGCTCTGTTTTCCGTAGATCTGACCAATGCACCAATAGACTGGCTGGATAGCAATCTCATCATATGTGTTTACTGTGGGTCCATGTCCATTCCACGGTTATGTAAGTAAGAGTGAGAGAATTCATTCAAGGCAGTTACAAGTGAGTAGTAGCGGCAGAAGCAAGCGAACAAGCAAGCAAGCATTAAGCTCGAGGAGTACAAAAGAGTATAAGAAGTCAGCCTGTGAAGACTTAACATGTGATCTGAAGACTTCGTGTGTGCTATAGTGCAGTGGTGTGATTTAGGGAGACTTTTATAGTTCCTGCGTTATAAATACATGAAGACTAGTGGAAACAGACAGAAGATTAGTGTGGAATGACTGTAAATTGTGTAAAGCAGCAATAGTGTAAGAATTATTTGTAGTTATGACCTGTAGGTTGTTAATAAATCCAATTACAAATCTGAACCCAATCTTTAGTCACTGTGATACACGTGACAATATAATACTGATGACCTCTCTATACAACAGAAGATGGGAAATGTATGTATAACACAACATCTGGGACACTATCAGATGTGTTATACATACATTTCCCATCTTCTGTTGTACAGAAAGGTATGTATAACACAACATCTGGGACATTATCAGATATTTCACCTGACTGATTCCACGGAGCTGAGCCCTTGTTGAGAAGCCACCAGTTTTGCAGCTACTCAAGAATTTTCCAACATTCTATGGAACCTGAAGGATCATTACCATGTTCACAAGTGTCCCTAATCCTGAGCCAGATCAATCCAGTCCATACCACACCACCCTCCCACTAATATAGTACTTCATCTGTGAAATTAGTAAGCGGGAAGGCCATGGCTTCCCTCCCCCATGACAACTCCCGTGTACTCTCATCAAAGGAGTAGCAGAGAGAGTGAGTTACTCTCAAAATATGCATCTGGATCTTCACAATACAATGTTATTGTTGTCTGCTTTTAACCAAAATTGAATTTTGTCATGAAATGTTAGTAAAACTCCCCAGTATACCCTACATTGAAAATCAGTCCAGTGGGAGCTGAGTTATTTCACATGGAGAGACAGATGGACGGATAGAAAGCTGGACAGATATTCTGATATGCGTTTTTCACAGTTGTTGTGACTTTGCAAAATGATGTTCCATGAAATTATGGTAACACACGGTTCTAATAAGTGCTTCATATGCTGGTTACAGATATTAATAATTCTGCCTGCATGTGGATCTGTCACCAGCTGTCACCGTTTTCAACAAAAAAGCTCATATACAAGAACTTCTTGAAACCCATATTTTGTATATCTTCAACATCTGATATTACACTGTTAGTTAGGGCTATATTATGAAAACACAGACAATTTAACTAATTCAAAACCTCCACTGAGTAGTAAGAACATAAATTTACTTCCTCCTTCCTTAATGAGAAGCAGACATGGATAATAAGGATAATAGCATAAACAGTTTTAATATTGCATAATTTTATGTATAGTGATGAAAGACTGTTTTTTTGATATAAATTTAACACATGTTTTTTTATCTATTTTAATGATTATAAACTGTACATATATATTTATATTTGTATTGTACTATATTAACTATGTGACTGGTTCTATATCTATGTATATGGATTTATGGAATATACAATAAATGAATGAATGAATAAGAAGATATCTGTTTGCAATGGTGTCTTGTTTTCCTACCTTGACTCCAACTATTGGTAAACCTAAAACCTTAAAGTATAACTACCAAGGAGAATACATTTCTGGAGATACATGATGCTACGTATCTTTTTTCAAATGGCAGGATATGTTTTGAATGAGAAACTAAGTGTACTTCAAGAATAATATGAACACTGTGTAGAAAAGAATTCTTGGCCCCTGATGGAGACTGAATCCTGGCCACCCAGTTACCTCGGTAACTGAGAACACTTGGCTCACAAGTAAATAAAACAATGAAACCACTTTTTAAGGTTTCTTTGGGAAACAGTGATTTTTGGCACTTCAGAGCAAGGAAAATCTTAAATGGATAAAATGTAACATTAGAGTTAGTGGCTTGGGATCATTGAAACTGAATGTTAAATCAGGGAAAGCATTATATTAAGGAACATGAAATCCTGCTTCTTAAACTGTAAAAATCAAAGTGCTTAATGTTACCTGACACAATTACTAAGGTTAGAAAATGCAACATCTGTGAGATCTTCTCCATCCAAGATCAGGGTTATCAGCTGGCTTCCCAGTTTTTTGATGATATGCACTACATCGTCATCAGAAATCTTTCTTACATCATCCAGGTTAAGTTTCTTTAAGTGCTGGCAACTTTCTGCAATAAGACGGACTGCTTTGCCACTCAGTTCCTATTGAGAAGAAAGTATCTTCCTTACATTGACTAAAATGGTACTTACAGTTGCATTCATCTGTATGCATGAAATGGATTAAGGCATAAAATGAATGCATAGGAGGAAGACTCTTCCTCTTCATCTCTCTGCTCACATGTTTCATATCCAAAACTTCTAACTGAGCATGATGACCTTCAGTGAATTTTATGTGTTGCATTCTGGTCCATCACACTAATATTATGAATATATNTGCCAGTATATAAAAAAGGTGATAAAAACAGGGTATCTAACTATAGACCTATTTCCATCTTGACATCTATAAGTAAAATATTTGAGAAGGTAATGTATAGTAGTTTATTAAAACATTTAAATGACAACAGCATATTAAGTAACCATCAGTTTGGATTTAGAGAAAAACGGGGGACTGAAAATGCTATTTTTAGACTTATTTCTGGAATATTAAATTCACTAAATAATAAAATGCTAGTCAGTGGGATATTTTGTGACCTGGAAAAGGCTTTTGACTGTGTTAGTCATACAGTATTACTTAATAAATTAAAGTATTATGGAATAAAGGATAAACAATACAACCTATACAAATCATACTTACAGGATAGATTTCAGAGAACAACCATTTATAATGGAACTAACAATAAAAAAGTATATTCAGGATGGGCTAAAGTAACTAATGGTGTTCCACAGGGGTCAATACTGGGACCTCTTCTGTTTATAATATATATAAATGATTTGCCCAAGATATTGGAGGCAAAAAGTACACCTATTTTATTTGCAGATGATACCAGTGTGTTAATCTCACATGCAAATCCAATTACGTTTAGAAAAACAATAAACGAAGTATACAGTTTACTAGATGACTGGTTAAAAAAAAACTTAATGTCTTTAAATACAATGAAAACATATTATATAAACTTTACTGCAAAAAACCAGGTACAAAGGGATATAGGAGATTTAGTAACAATTATTACAAACACAAATCATACTAAATTTCTTGGACTGACCATTGAAAACGCCATGACCTGGGAAAGACATATTGATGAGGTAACAAAGAAATTGACTACAGCCTGCTACATGATCAGAAATATAAAACCAGTAGTATCTATGAAAATATTAAAAAGTATCTACTACTCATATTTCCATTCGGTTATGACGTATGGCCTGATATTCTGGGGAAACTCGTCGCATGCCGAAAGGGTTTTTAAATTGCAAAAGAGAGCCATAAGATTGATCAAAGGCTGTGATCTTAGAGAGTCATGTAGAGAACATTTTAGGGATATGAACATACTGCCCCTAAGATCACAGTACATGTACTCATTAATTATGTTTGTAATAAATAATAAAGAAATATTCAGTATAAATAAGGATTACTATGGAAAAGATACTAGACAAAATATGAATATACATATGTACCAGGTCAATTTGGCGAAATACAGGAATGGGGTTTATCACATGGCTGCAAGGATTTATAATGGACTTCCAAATACAATCAAAATAATCTCAAATAATGCAAATAAGTTTAAAGCCAGTTTAAAAGAGTTTTTATTTGTGAACTCCTTTTATACATTGGAGGAATATTTTAATAGATGACAATGGCAACATTATGCAAAGGGTAATTTATATATTTAACTTTTTAATTTGATTTATATTACAAACATATTGACAACTGCTTGACTTATAAGCAAGATGAGTTTATACTACTGGACGATTTCTATATCTGTTGGTTGTATAACTGTGTAAGGATTTTATGAAAAGAATGATGTGAAACTGACCAAGTACCTTCATTTTATCTGTAATAATACTTCTTATCTGATTAGTTGTCAATATTATTATCCATATAACTTATCACCCTTATTTTATATTGTATATTGATTACTGTGACACTGTGTAAACTTTTCAAATTGTTTTATATTGTAAACATATTGACAACTGCTTGATTATATAAGCAAGATGAGTTCATACTACTTGACGATTTCTATATCTGTTCGGTTGTTTAAACCATGTAAGGATTTTATGGAATGTGAATAAATGAATGAATGAATGAATGAAACAGTTAAATAGTTCCATCCAGTGTTACTGGTTAAGATTTCCTTATTTCAATTATTCATGCCCTTACATGTCTCTGAAGATTGAAACATGTAAGGGCATGAATAATTGAAATAAGAAGATCTTAACCAGTCACACTGGATGGAACTATTTAACTTTTTCATGAACTTCAGTATTGGGAATGTACGTTCAAAGTAGTCATGTTGGTCTGTACTGTTCCAATATACAGTGAAACACACACTTAAGGTTTCTTTGGGGGGCACTGGATTGGAACATTAAACTGAGGAAAAGTTTAAATGGGGATAACACAGAAATAATTGACTTAGGATTACTAAAACTGTGGGAGCCTGGATAGCTCAGTCGGTATAGTAACAGGCTACAGGTTTGATGGCTGAAGTTTGATTCCTGGCAAGGGCAAGAGATCTTCTCTTCTCCACAGCAACCAGACCAGCTCTGGGATCCATCCAACTTCCTATACAAGAGGTTAAGTAGCTGGGGCTGACCACCCATTTCCATCTAGTGCAGAGGTCAAGAACAGCTGAGCTATACCTCCACTCCCAAACATGTCTTCATAGCATAGTGCTTAGTTAATTAACCACGGGAAAAACCTTACCATTTTTTAGAGAAACTGAACATTAAATAAGGGAAAACCTTAAGTTGAGGAACATTAAGTGGGGATTCCACTGTGATCCCTGTTTTACATGAACATTAATCAAATTATCATATTTCTCACAAACGGCTCACTCTAAAAAAAGATGGGTACGCGTTGCGATACACAGACAGACTTAAGAACCATGATGTTTATTTCAGACATTTTTAATGTAACGTATATTGAGCACAATGAAAGGAAAATATAAATTATGCCTCTATATAGTATGATCTCTCTATTGTTAATTAGCTGTATGTGCAAAATTGCAACCATAAGCACAGTGCCTAGCTACAAATGATTACCAACATTACATTTGTATCTGCAATAAATGACCCACCTAAGACCAATGACAGAAACACTGTATGCCAAACCAGATGAAATACACCTGCCCACTCTTTGAACAAGACTTATTGATACAAATTATGCGAGAATTGACACATCATTTGGTAAAACCTTAGTAACACCTACAAAAAGAAAACATCAGTTTTCCCAAGATAAATTAAAAACTCTTGACAATAAACTACTCTGCATCACTGTACTGTTATTCTTAATATATTTACAAATAACATGGAATAGAAAATGAACTTCTGAGGATAGACAGATGGAATCATAGGAAGTTAAGAACAGCCTGTCTGGCAGGGAAAGGATTCTGACTCATGCCAGCACTACACTAATTTAACCCTTTGGCCATTCCCTTTAGAACACTAGTATAAAGTGTTGTCAGGCCATTTTTCTGGATATTTCAATTTTAAATAAGATTTTATTATGTTAAGAAGGGCAAAGGGTTAGTAGATACACACAGCAATCTACCTCAGAGTGTGAAAGGTCCAATACTGATAGTTTCTTCAGGCGTGGAATGAGTGAATACCCGGCTTCCGTAAGTGGGAAGCAACCCTTTAGGGTCAGCTCCTCCAGATTAGGGTAGAAGGCCACAATACTAGCTAAGAGGCCAGTGCTGTCCTCACTGAGAGAGCAGAACCGGAGATTCAGCTTTTTCAGACAACCACAGCTGTCAAACAGAAGTTCCAGAAGTTGAAATGCATCATCACGGTTGTCAATGATGAATGAGTGTAGTGCAGGAGCCTCTGCTAATACCTACAGTAGAAAAAAATAACAGTAAAGCTATCCCTGTACCAGGCCGTGAAGGCCCATACGCTTGTGAGACGTTGAGGGTCCCACATTATCTAGACAAGTGGCTCAAAGATGGCAGTAAGGTTGTCATCCCTATGCACCAGCTGCGCTTTACTCCCCAGGAAAATTATTTAATTAATTCCTGGTACTCATTTCTGTTAGAGGCCGAGTCAACCCCAGGGTCTTAGTGCAGCTGGAAGCATTAGGTCAATTGGAAAAATCCAATGAGCTCATCAGGACTTGGAAGTCGCGACCTTCCCCCCTCAACCAACTACGCTACCTCGTGCTCGCCTGCTAATACCTACACAGGATTATTTTATTACCAGCGGCACCTCTAAGAAGAATCTGCCATGATGATGCCTATATTCCTTGAACAACTTCAGAGCCCAGAGCCTCTTAAAGAGGAGTTAATCTCGATGGCTATTCAGTGTCAGCTAGTCTGTTCAATGAATAGACCATTCAAGGAAAAAAAAAAAAAACCTCGGTGGCTGTAGTCCATAAGTGAACTATACCTACTGAGTGACCGCCGCTCGTCAGCGAAGTTAGTGCTAACTTTAGCGGATAGAGGGTGTTGAGTGGTCAGTGCAACAGATCCCCACGGCCGTTAATTTCGGTTCTCAAGACCAGAGCCACTATTTCCTTCGAATAGCTCCTGAAGTACCCTCACGAGGTTGAGTGGAGCCTATTCCAGACCCACTAATCAGAAAATCTGGTAGCGCCGGGAATCGAACCTGGGACCTCTGGATCTGTAGCCAAGAACTCTGACCACTAGACCACAGAGGCGGTCGAATAGACAATTCACAGAAACATTTTCAGGATCAAGACTGTATGAAGTTACAACCTAAAAAACCAAAATCTGTAAAAAAAAAATATTTTAACTTACCTGTACATCTTTACTGAATTCTGAATATTTATCACATCTGTAAGAAAGTGATTTCCAGAGGGTCACATCCCTTGCCAAAGCATTCCACCGTTCACAAACTTGTGCAATGACAAGACATAACTCCTCTGGTCTGAAGTGTGACAAGATTTTGAGGAGGAGTTCATCTGGGAAGTCATTTATTGACTTGAATTTGCTGGTGACTAGAGATGGCTTGGAAATAGTGTCAGAAGTAACTCTTTTCTCTTCCAACAGCGACAACAGTGCAGATGTCATTTCATATTACCTTCTTAACAATTTCAGAAAACAGCTTTCCCCTGGTGTACAAAAAAAAGAAAGACACCAATAAATGGATAACCAAAGGTATACAAACATCTTGTAATCATAAAAGAGCTTTATACTACTTAGTTAAAAAAATCAAAGGATGAGAGACTGGAATCATACTATAAAAAGTACTTTTGACATTAACGAAAGTAATAAAAGAAGCTAAGAAACTGTACTACCAAAAACTTATAAGTAACTCGGAAATCAAAAGACAATTAACCTGAAAGATTATTAATAAATAAACTGGGAAGAGGAGGGGCCCAGATAATATAACTGAATTGAAAGTGGGGAATAGCAAAGTAACTGATACTAAGGAAGTAGTAGAAGTATTCAATAAATACTTTATAACTGTAGCTGAGAATCTGGAAACGAAAAGTGCCAATAAAAATGAAGCTATTAAATTCTTAGACACTTTGAAATTTGATAAATTCCCTGAACTGAGGCTAATACCCACAACGGAGGTGGAAATAAAGAGCATACTTATGTTGCAAAAATCAAAAGATTCTACAGGATATGATGGCATTTCTAGTAAGATATTGAAATATTGTATAACTGAGATAAGTAAACCATTGTGTCACATATTTAATGCATCTTTTGAGCAAGGAATATATCCTGATAGAATGAAATTTGCCTCATTAAGACCTTTATACAAAACAGGTGAGAAGGCAATTATGGCAAACTATAGACCAATATCATTGCTAATAAGTTTTTCTAAGATTTTTGAAAGAGTGGTGTACAATAGGATAAAGCAACATATATATATATACAAACAATTTAATATCTTTTGCACAGTTTGTGGATTTAGAGAAAACAGTAACACAGAAATGGCAATATATACATTAACTAATCATATTTTTGAAACACTGGAAAGATGCAATCATTCATTAGGAATTTTTTGTGATTTGACAAAAGCATTTGACTGTGTGAGTCATGATATTCTTTTGAGTAAATTAGCAACATATGGCATTGGTGGTAAAATGAAAATATGGTTGAAGTCCTATCTGGAAAATAGAAGACAAAGAGTTGAACTTTATAATAATGAAAATGGAAAATGCTGTTCAGACTGGGGAACCGTCAAATATGGAGTGCCAAAGGGCTTGATTTTGGGTCCTTTGTTCTTCCTTTTATATATTAATGACCTGCCATCAACATTAAGTACTGACAACAAGTCATTACTGTATGTTGATGATACAAGTATATTAGTGTCGGGTATTAATATCGACGAAATTCAAGAAAGATCTAAACTTATGTTAAATTCCTTAAGTCAGTGGTTTAAATACAATGGCTTAACCCTAAACTTGAGGAAAACTAAAGTGTTAACATTTGAAAGAATCAATTGTGACAATATGCCTGTACATTTAAAGTTTAACAATGAAGTATTACGAGAGGAAACTCATATTAAATTTTTGGGCATTGAAATTGACAAGTTCTTGAATTGGAAGACACAGGTTGAATCACTGTTACCCAGATTGGGAAAGGCATGTTATGCAATACGAATTATGAAAACATATAGTAATGTTACAACACTTAAAATGATATATCATGCATACTTTCATTCACTCATGAGATATGGAATAGTTTTTGGGGGTAATTTATCAGAGGCCAAGAAGATCTTTCTCTTACAAAAGAAGACTATTAGAATAATAATGGGGATGAAACATAGAGAGTCATGTAGGCCAGCATTTATAAAGTTAAATATATTAATACTGTCTCTCAATATATTTTATCTCTGATGACTTTTATGATAAATAACTTGGGAGTATTTTACTTTTAATTATTCAATTTATGAGAGACCGACAAGACACGAAAAAATTTACATGTCCTACAATCAAATCTAGCAATGAGGCAGAAAGGGGTCCATTGCATGAGCATAAAAATATTTAACCGTCTGCCTGATTATTTAACTGATTTAGTACATGATAAAAAAGTTTATAAAAGAAATAAGGGATGTCCTATTACACAATCCGTCATATACTGTTGATGAACTTTTGCTCTTCTGTCAGGATCAACAGCTAAGGAATAGAAGGGGAGTGCACGCTGACTGATGGATGCCCCACAATAGGCATCAATATAGACATTAAGTGTAAATATAATCTGTATCTTATGTATTTATTTAGATGCATGTTGCTTGCATTTATGTTTGTTTGTTATTGTGATATGGCATGTTGGAATTGTAAAGAGGTATTGTTGTTTGTAAAGCTTGTGACATGTTTCATATTCAGTGCAGATTGCATTTATGAATATCCTGAAACGCAGATGTATGTATGTATCAAGTTATAGTTGGACCTGAACATCCTGCAGCTGGAATGGAATGTGTAATACAGAAATAACTGTAACTGAAGGTGGATGTTAGCAATGTTATAGTATTTGCTGACTTGGGTATAAATTACACAGGGAGGTTACATGGGCTACATGGTATTACATGCCACTAGCAAAACAGTTCTAAACCTATACATGCCACAGACAATGTCAGATATGATCTCTGTTGTTTATGTACATATCCCTTGCATCTTCATAAAATGTTTGCATTCACACACTGAGGTTCCTTTCCAAAAATAGAGCTAGCTTGAAACTTTAAAGCCTGCTTTCCTGTGCAAGACACATAAGGAACTGCTGAGGGCAGTGTAATGCCAATCTCGTTTAATTTCTCTTCAGTGAAAATTTAGCCTTCTGATTCAGTTCTTTTTCATCAAATAATGATCCACAGGGAAGACCAAGGCATAGATGGTTGGACAATATTAAAATTGGTCTTAGAGCAACAGGATGGGATGGTATAGATTGGATTGATCTGGCTCAGGATAGGGACCAGTGGAGGGCTCTTGTGAATATGGAAATGAACCTTCAGGTTCCATAAAATGCTGGGAAATTCTTGAGTTGCTGCAGAATTGGCAGCTCCTCAAGAAGAGCTCAGATCCATGAGGTCCATGAGTGAGTAAGTAATGATCCTGTCTATCTTTAATTTATCTGTGATTGTGTGACGTTTTCTTTCTATTTATAATCACTTTCCACATAAACATTATTGTCCCAATGTGCAACTCACATGTGGTATTTTGACACAGGAAATAACAGAAGTCATGATCACTTATCACACAGGTAATATTCAATAGCAGTAAAAACATGAGCCTTGGAATTTATCAGACGGCCAGCACATAATGCATAAGCTTACTTCATGCTGTTATTCTAAGGCCACGCCATAGCTTAAGCGATTAGTCACTGGCTTCCCACCACTGCGATCTGGGCAAGTGGGATTTGTGATGGACAAAGTGGCGCTGGGGCAGGTTTCCTCCGAGTACTTCGGTTTCCCCTGCCAATCTTCATTCCATCAAATTCTCCACAAATAAGAATATCTAACTAATTCTAAAGTGTAATCAACTGTAAACAATTGTAACTATTGTAATTTTAATCTTACTCATATATTAAATTGTTAATATTCAGAATTAACTTGACTTGTCCTATATCATGTACATTGATCTACAGTGACGAAATAAATCAATCAATCAGTTGTTTGTTTGAATGCTACTGGAGAAAAACTGTAATGTGAACTGGCTATCTGTCTGTCGACAACACCATGACTCTGTTGTGTAAAGTAGTATGATGCAAACAGCAAGTTAAATTTCTGCCAGAACGGCCAAACAATTTGTAACAGGCTCTTTAAATTCCCTCCTTGTGGCTGGAGACCAATTCTAGTAAACATATTGAGGATATCTTCAAACACTTAGGAAAAATCACAAAAACTTTAATATGCAAATATGTTAAACATGGAAGTGCCTACAAAATAGATCAAACCTAAGCAGATTTAAGTTAATCTAGTGCATCAAACGTGTCAACACGCAATAAATTCACCTCATGTCAACTACGTTATTTTAACATATCTCAATTATTCTTACGTAAATTTATTTAGAGCAAATATGAACACTGTACCAATAAAGGTTATATTACAGGATAAACACCCCTTCTTCCCTCATTTTTATTTTCTATTCGAAAGACTTTAAACGAAGAGTTTTAGCCCTCTACGATAAATCAAACTTGCTACAGCCACCTATTTACATTTCAAAATATTCCTATTACGTCTCCACAAGTACTAAATTTATGAGACATTAATTCCATCCTTACCTATCCTTAACTTCGTACCATTATTCCAAATCGTTCCAAATTATCGATTAGTGAGGCGACATGCATTTCACTAGTGCCTACACAATCGTTTCATAGTTCGCATTCTGACCGTTAGATAGTGGTACAAATACTAAATCCAATTTCTGATTGTGTTAGAGGACAGATAATGTCGTTATTTTTAGTCCGAGATATTGCGACGTCTCATTTCTGCGAACTTCAGGATAATATTCTTTTTCGAGTGATACATATATAAATTCACAAGTTTCGTAAGAAAATTAATATGCCGTATGTAAACACGTTTCGTTTCCATGGTTACGTTTACATTTGCGTTGCCATCTTGCGTCCCTCACGAGAAAATTAGTTTATATGTGAACTTATCAATTGTTGCCCGTAAAAATAATAGAGTAAAAGTAAGAAAAAAAAGTTCTGGGAAGAACTAATAGCATTATTTCCTCTGATACGACATGGGGCGCATAGAAAATGAGGCGTGCAAAAATCCTTCTACTGTTGCACGTGTATTCGTTGTCGTGGGAACCTATTTACTGACCCGAAGCCTAGCCACAATAAGGAAATATGCAGATAGCAAGGTGATCTCACATGCCTACTGTCATATGTTAGCCTACTTCTCTATTTCAAAAAACGAAAGTGGGCTTATAAAATCACCATCATATCTGTGTATCCTATACCCCTTACTAGATAACGGCGCAGATACTAGCAGCAACTAGCTAAGGGAGTTTCCGCAGCAAAGAATATACATGCAACGACAAAAGAATTCTTGTTAAAGGTAGGAAAGTAGACTAAAAATACACCCGATGTGAACAACTCCACGTTTCCCTAACTACGTATGCTAAGTTCCAGCTTGTATTGCTGCGTGTAACACTGTTGCTGTAGGAATGGGTTGCTTGGTAAACGATATCTGGGCTATTGCTAGGTAACCGCCCGCAACAACAGTAGACAAACTGTTAGAGTCGGGTTTTCTATTTTGTCCGTCCAAAGGAATATTGCCAGGGCTCCACAGCATTTGATATTACTCGAACTGGGAGAACCTTCAGCGTTAAAATCCATTACAGGTAATGATTAGTAAAACAAACTAAGAAAACTTAGCATGTAGTGACTTGTAAATTGTGGAAATCAGTGATACATACATACATACATACATAGCTTCACACATCCGTTGCCCGTATTGGGCCGGATATTGAGCTCGTCAGATTAATTAAAAGTAGTTGCGATATGCAACCAAGTCCAAATAGACAGCTTTCAAGATATGAAAGTCTTTCAGTTTTCATTTAAATAAATTAACATTATCCTTTAAAATATATAATTTATGTGGCAAATTATTAAAAATTTGTATGGATGTATAATACACTCCCTTTTGTATAATGGATAGTCTAGCTGACGTGAAGTGTAGTCTGTTTTGTACTCTAGTGTTAATTTTATGTACACTATTATTTGTAGGATAATTATTTTCGTTTTCAATTACAAACATGACCATGGCATATATAAACAAACAGGGAACTGTAAGTATCTCTAATTCTCTGAAAACCTCTCTACAAGAACTTCTAGGCCTCATCATTAACATTGCTCTAATTGCTCTTTTCTGAGCCACAAAAACTCTTTTCATTGATGACGAAGAAGAGCCCCAGAAAATAACACCATATTTAAGTTGAGCTTGACAGTAAGCACAATAAGCCATTTTCAACACTTGCCTACTTACTATAGGCTGTAGTTTTCTAAGCACAAAGGTTGCAACACTCACCTTATCACTTCATCAGAGCATTTTTCCCTGCCCAAATGACTGTCCAGGCACACACCTAAAAACTTAACATTTACAGAAAATTTAAGTGTTTGGTCATTATATTTTATATGTAATGGATAGTCCATGGCCTTAGGGGGCATAAAAATCATTACATGGATTTTTTTTAATTTAGTGTTAATTGGTTAGCTTGGAACCATCTATATAAATGTCTCATAACTAAATTTATTTTATTATTAAGGCTACTAATATCCTGTGAAGAGACAATAAAAGTGGTGTCATCAGCATATAGAACCGTATGTGCCAACCCATTTAGAATTTTAGGCAGATCATTAATATATACATTGAACAATAAAGGTCCCAGTACAGATCCCTGCGGAACTCCATGTTTTTCTAGTTTTCCATTTAGAAACATATGTAGTTGAGTCTGGAGTCTGTAGAATGAGTCTTTGCTTCCTGTTATACAGGTATGCTTCAAGCCGTTTTAGTAGAGATCCTTTTATTCCATAGTGTTTCAATTTTTGGACAAGCAGTTCATGACTGACACAGTCAAATGCCTTAGTGAGGTCACAAAAATCCCCACAACCATCTCCTTATTGTTCCATGCTTTATAAATATAATCAGTAACCGTAAAAATAGCCTTCTGCATCAACGCACCACTTCTGAAACCAAACTGATTATCTACAATAACATTATTGTTTGTTAAATGCTGTAGTACTCTGTTATATATTAATATCTCAAATAATTTGTTAGTGGCGGACAGGCAGTAACTGCAAATGATAGGTAAATTCTGATATTAGAAACTGAGGTCACACATGCTATTTGTGTTCTTTGTATCTAACTCAAATCAATGGAGCTGAGCTAAGAAACCGCTATTCACTCAGCTACTCAAGAATTTCCCCAAATTTTATAGAACCCGTAGGTTCATTATCGTGTTCAAAAGAGCCCTCCACTGGTCCCTATGAATCAAATGGATCCAGCCCATACTATCCCATCCCATTTCTATAAGATCCAATTTAACATTATCCTTCCACCTACGCCCAGGTCTTACTAATGATGTTTTTGCTTCTTGCTTTCACACGAGATCCTGTATGTATTCCTCTTCTCCCCCATTTGTGCTACATGCCCTGCTCACACCTCCACCTCAACTTTAATTATACTTGGAGAAGAGTACAAATTACAACACTCCTCATTAAGCAGTTTTCTCAAACCTCCTGTTACCTAACCTCTCTTCGGTCCAAATATTCTCATCACCCTGTTCTCAAACACCCTCAGTATATGTTCCTCCCTTAATGTCAGAGACCATTTTCACACCCATACAGAAACACAGGCACAGGACAGCATTTAATAATATATGAAAAGCAATAACATTATTAAAGAACAAATATAAATCACTCCATCCAATGTGACCTGTAAGTTTTTTACTACATGAAAACTTAACACCCTTACATGTTTCGGTCTCTGTGGACCATCTTCAGTAAAAAACTTACAGGCCACATTGGACAGAGTGATTTATATTTGTAACTGTTAAGTGTGACGGACCAGAATGAAACAAATCAAAAAATTATTAAAGAACTTTGAACTCATGATCCTGAAACATACTCATGTTTCCAAATTCATTATTAAAGATAATAATGTGGACAAAATAATAAAATAACTGAAAGAATATACCCATAATAATAAAACAGATGAAAAACATACCCAAAATAATAAAATTAATTGCAAAATACACAGTGAATCCTGCTATCAATTCTGCACCTCACTGTTTCATATTGAAGCAGATAAACTGAACATTTCAAGTCAATTGTAAAGTAATGGCACTTCATTCTTACCTTCACCATGTGAGTTAGGAAACAATTTCCCATACAGTTCTAAATAGAAATATAATCACTTCAAGATAAAGCACAGAATGAACTCTGACCATCGTCTGAAAGTGATGTTCTAATATACAGAGATGAAATACACGTCTACAAAGCAGAGAAGAGATGGAGCAAAAGTTCAGAGCTAGTTTCTTGTACACATTCTCTGACTGCAGATGATCATAATGTAATCAACACAGTACTGAGTACCTAAATATTGAGACAAAAGCAAATGAATGCATGGTAGTTTCTGTTTTTGCATTCCAGCTGCTTGTCACAAGGGTTGCTTTCCCCAACTTATGAAATATCTGATGATGCTCACATGAGCAGCTGCCACAGATATTCTTCCATTAGTTCAATAACTGCTCCATGAGAAGGTAAGAGCAGGACGTTCCAAGGCAAAAATGAAGAAGCATTACTTTCCTAACGACTTACTGATATGCCAGGATTTGCATCTTCCTCTCCGTGGCCCTGTGCCTGACCATTTCACTCTTCAACTTATTTGCTTGCTTACACCACCAAGGAATGTAAATTCTTGTGAGACTTGTCACCACACCATGTGCATGGATAAGAATATGTGTTACAGGTGATAGCATCGGTGTGTTGTTTATGTGAGAAATACATCGTATTGTCTCTGTGATTTATAACTGAGGGCAAGGGATTCAATGAAGAGACAGGATGATGTGGGAATGATTGCGAAGCAGAATCGGAGTCAATGAACCGACACTCTGTTCAGGTGTAATCTTCCACGTGTAGTGAAATTACTTTCCAAGAAATGTCTGCTGCACAAATATTCTTTTGCAGCAGTCTAGCAGAATCAATGTTGCAGAATATTACAACTTTTTCCGCCCATACCACAGCCCTCTAAAAGTGTAATAAACTGTCTCAAAACCTCGAAATTATTCATCAGTAAACATTACAAACATGGTGCACGTGCTAAATTTTGAGGTTATGTTGATAAAATGAACGCACACTTTATTTCTTCCTTGGATTAAATAACACGTAATAAAGCCACTGACCCATGAATTAAAACAGACATACCGTCGTGGATCCTGCACAAGTTCTGCTCCGCATATACAGATTGTAGTTATGCATGGAAAACCTGCATTACGGCTTTATTGTGAGTTTCAAGTCTAGTACAAATAACCTAGAAAACAGTTTCATAGTTCTCATTCTGACCGTTAGATGGTAGTACACAAACTACTGCTGTGGGTGTTGGAGGAGAGAACAATTTATTAAATAATCACGATATGTTTTTATTTTTATTCCGAGATATTGCTTATAGTGATTTTTGCGAGCATCAGGATAATATTCTTTTTCGAGTGTCACATATCTAAATTCACAAGTTTCCTAAGAAAATTTTTATTCGGCCTTATGTAAACAGATTTCGTTTCTATGGCTACGTTTATATTATCATTGCCATCTTGTGTCCCTCAAAGAAAAATAGTTTATATGTGAACTCATCAATTGCTGCCCGTAAAAAGAAGCGAGGGGAAAAGTAAAAAAAAAAATTAGTTCTGGGAAAAACTAACGGCATTATTTCCTTTGATACGACATGGACCGCATAGAAAATGAGGCGTGCAAAAATCCTTCTACTGTTGCATGTGTATTCGTTGTCGTGGGAACCTATTTACTAACCCGAAGCCTAGCAACAAGGAGATATGCAGACAACAAAATGATCTCACAAGCCTACTTGTACTTCTGTACTTTCCTAACTACGTATGCTAAGTTCCAGCTTGTATTACTGCGTGTAACACTGTTGCTATAGGTACGGGCTGCTTGGTAAACGATATCTGGCCTGAAGAAAGCAGTCTTCTGGGATTTGGCACCGTGTATATGTGGCCTATTGCGTAACCGCCCGCAACAACAGTAGAACAACGTCGTTCCACCCCTCCACCCGCAGTGACGTGGAAGGTGAGTCATCGCACCGCCCCTCACCCCCAACGCGGTTACGTGGACCGCTACCTACCGTGACGTGGCCGGTCACAGCGAAAGATATAAAAAAGCAGGCTGAGCAGTAGGAGGTCATTAGGTCATTAGTTTGTGATCAGGAGTGACACAGGTACAACGTAGCCGCCGCCGACGTTATTGTAAGTGTATAATACAGTGACACTTATATAGCTCCCGTACTTTGAATACGTGTAGACTACTGAGGACTGTGTGAAGAGATTTGTGCATAGGGTTTGTAAATTGTGTAAACCGGTAACAGTGTGATAATTAATTGTAGCCAAGACTTGTAGGTTGTTAACTAAACCAATTAACAACCCGAACGGCGTCTTCAGTGGCAAAACACGTTACACTGGTGTCAATACTTTCATATTCATCAGACTTCAACTAATTAATTTCCTGATTTCAGATAGCTTAATCGTGATGTATTTCCTTTGTTACAGCATTCAACTGGCATTTCAACCTATCGCAAGCGAAGATTGTGTACGTAATAACGTGAAAGAACCACGGAAATGTCTGTTAACATAGGTCTTTCTGGTTTGGAAATGGAACGTGGTACGGAAAGCATTCATGCGTGTTTTCCGGCCGAAATGGAAGGTGACAACTGCTCTCCTCGTGACGAAGTCCGAGAGAGCAGAAAACAGGCCCGAGACTCGTCCATCAGCGGCTGCTTCGGGTGGGTCCGAAAGTGGATATGCATTAAAGTAAGCAGATTTCAGACATGTTCATACTGAAACTAAAAAGACAGATTATCATGTTGACTGAAACATGCCTGTCTGACAAATTTTGGAAGTAAGAATTTTATAGAACTCATAAGCGGTCTTGCCAATTAAAATATGAACTGAAGCCTTGATAAAATTCGTTGCCTCTTTCAGAATGACTTGGATAGTGATGAAGATTTTTATGAGAGGAAATGCCCAGACAACACGGGAGAGTGCACAGAAGACTCCCGAGACTCGTCCACCGGCGGGTGCTTCGAGTGCATCCGAAAATGGGTATGTGAGAAGGTAAGCAGACTTCAGACTTGTTCATACTGAAATTAAAAAAAGATTATCATGCTGATTGAAAAATGTGTTTCTAGCAAATTGTCAAATTAGATATGTTGTAGATATTTTTACGTATATGAGTAGTCACATGGAAACCGGTTTTGGTGACTCGTTTATTGACCACTTTAACACACGTTTCGTGACTAAACTTAATTATAGCGCCATCGCTGATCTCCACACTTTACACATCACTAGAATCCGCGCTAAATGTATTCCACACCGCAGTGTCTACACTAGCCGTTTTCGGATAATGGCTTCTAACAGTGGAGATTCTTCAGCTTCCACGTTAAGGTCATTCCCGGATGGCCACTGTCTCACAACTGAACTTAGCTACATGTTAAACTTCTGCTGGCCCTCAATAGCACAGTGATCCTTGGTTTAGAGTCCCACAGTACTCTTTTCCATATTATATCAAAGTCAAAGTGAATTTAACACTGGCGGTCCTTCTCTCAGAGTCCTTAAGTAACGTCCCGCTTCTAACCACTAAGAAATCGCAGTTTTTCTCTTGTTGCGTGCGTGTATAATGAGGCCGTTACCAAGCAACGGCCGCTGTTTACAGAGTCGTCGTTTGTGACCAGACCATAGGCCACAACATTATATGAAATTTATAAAATAATTAGAAACAAAATAAAAATAAATTATTTACATCTAATACGAATTTGATAAGATAACAGACTTGCAGCACACCTTGAAGACATCGTATTAGTGCAAGGCTTGAATGCGAGAGACCTACCTGATATACTGCATATCGCATTGTAATATTAGCATTCATAATTAGTGTGTGAGGTTGTGGGTGTTTTTTATCAGAGCATAATGGATAATGGCATATTCTCATGTACTCGTGAATGGAACACCGTTGCATCTTGGCGCAGGTACACGCAACAAAGAAATAAGTACTGTCACATATTCCTGATTTGTGTGAATAATTATAATGGGTTCTGGATTAGATGAATAGAATTATTAGACACTCACGAGGGGGTACGCGGTAGCGTAGTTGGTTGAGGCAGTATGCTACGAGCAGGGAGGTCGCGGGTTCAAGTCCCGATGAGTTCATTGGATTTTTTCAATTGACCTAATCATTCCAGCCGCACTATGGCCCTGGGGTCGACTCATCCTCTAACAGAAATGAGTACTAGGAATATTCTTGGGGGTAAAGGGCAGCCGGCACGTAAGGCTGACAATCTTTCCGCCATCTATGAGCCGATTGTCTAGAAAATGTGGGAACCTCAACATCTCACAAACCCTATGGGCCTCCACGGCCTGTTACAAGGATACCTTTACTTTTTTTTTTTGCGTTTTTTGCTAGACACTCACGCGTCGTAACTACAAATAATTATAACACTCTAAATATTACTGTCACTA